ATTTACCTATTAAATGAATCATCTGGACAATTCATATACATACTTTATTTTAAATGCATGACTGAATAAAGGAAGCAATTTACATATATGAATTGAAGAACTCTTTCTTCTATTATTTATGATATATATATATATAGATACAAGACAAAATGCTCTGAAACCGACAACACGAATGGTTTCTAGGGCATACACTAATATACACTAACAAATGGGACATTTAAAGTTGGGTTTCTGTCCCAACTGGAAAAAATGCTGCAGGAGAGGCTTCTTGGACATGGCCTTAAGGCAATTCCTCACATTGATTCGAGGTATAAGTTACTGAAGCGCCAGTACCATGCGATCAATGAGATGATAGAAAATGGCAGTGGATTCGGATGGAATGATGCAAAGAAGTGCATTATCGCAACCAACGATGTATTTGATGAATGTGTTAAAGTAAGTGCTTTTTATTGGTGAAATTGTTTACATGTTTAATTTTTTAAAAACTTTCATTTCTCTGTCTTTTTATTTATTTACGTATTTTTATTTTTTGTGTAGAGTCATTCTACTGCGAAAGGCCTGCGACACAAACCATTCCCCCACTATGACTCATTAGTTATAGTGTTTGGTAGAGATCGAGCAACTAGAGGGGTTGCAGAGACCCCTACTGATGTGGTGGAGGCCTTTGAGACAGAGCAAGAGGGGATTAATAAGACAGATATGGACGTCGATGTCAATCTTGAGGTGGAGGACCAAAACACTGTTCCTGTGAAGGAAGAGATGGTTGGTTCTACATGTCAGACAACCATAGGTGGCCCTAGTATGAGGGCTGTCAATAGTGGCAAAAGGAAGGTTAGGGATGAAGGTTTTTCTGACTTCATGGATTAGATAGGCAGGTTTAGCAAAGCATTTGAAGGAGCCCGCGAAGAAATTAAAGACATTGCATCGTTTTTCAAAAGAGAGTCTGAAGAGAAGGACAGGAGGAATTCATTGTTCAATGCAATAGCTGAGTTGGATGGGTTCACAGTTGATGAGCTGTTGGAGGAAGGAGAGGTGATATGCAAGGAACCTCACAAAATTGAGTTCTTCTTCGCATTACCGATTCATTTTAGGCGGGAGTTTGTGAGGAAGCAGCTCACAAGTAATGCGTATCATCCAATATATGATGATTAGTAATATATTTATGATGGCATTTAACTTTTTTGTGCACTGATGTGTTTATTTAGATGAATGTGCAGCCTCGGTAGAAGTCTGTCAGTTGCATTGGTATGGTGTATTTTTTACTATGAAACACCATGGTGTAATATCAGCATTGTATAGACTGTGGATGTTGTGTACTTTTTGATTATGTGTGTTAGTGCATTGTGTTAGCACTTAACCATATCCCACTGTGGATATCTTTTGCTGTGTAATACCCTGGTTTTCGTTAAGGATTGTAAATGTTGTTAATTAAATGGTAATCACAATATGAAATGGTGTTGCGTATTGTCATATATGTTGTTGTTGTTATTATGATATCCAATTATCATGTGTTGCAACAGTTATCTTAAGTGCAAGGTATAACAGACTTACTGAATGTTTTTTACTTCCTCATTCTTTTTTTACATGTTTTTCAATTTGATTGTCATTTGTATTTTTTACACATGTTCAGGGGGAATGACATCTACACAAAGGCAGAGAGGGGAAAGTGCCGAGATTGGGTGCCATGGACAGTCACATGCCACACAACCACTATACAGAGAAGACAAAGATGAAGGTCGGTAATGTGATTTCATAAATTCTTATATTGTTCGTGGAGGACTAATCAATATTTGCTTAAGTCGATTTGCACATATTATGCATTTTTAGGTGGAATGGAACCCGTACAGAGGGCCAAACCAACTAGTGCCAACCATGGCTGCCATGGTGATTTAGACGTTATATGGATGGTCTTTAGGCAGAGCAAATTTGATGGTAAGGAATATGGTTTCATATATTTGTTCTTTAGGGAACATAACAAGGCTTCACAACATAATGAGGTCAATTTGCTATATAGGTAAGAAACTTCCACGACGGGCAAGCAACCGCATTACCACCAATAGACAACATGGAATGTTGACCAGCCAACTATTTGACCGACACTTGGGGTATGCTTCTCACATGCATCCATATAATTTTTAAATCAAAAACTTTTTGGTAGTGTTGATAATTTCGGTTATGAAAGGAAACTGTGGACAAGATCTACACACGTTGACATATCGGATTTCAAGTGTCTCGATTCCATGTGGTTTTTCTTGTATTCCCTACGAGCTAATTGGCAAAAGGTTCTGAAATGGATTTAAAAAGAGGACATATTCTCTACGAAATATGTGTTCATTCCCATTGTATTATGGTTAGTTAATGTTTGCTGATTTTTATAAATGCAAGGTAATTTTCAATTCTATTGATGGGGGTGCTAATATTCTACATTTCTGTATATGCAGGGGTCATTGGAGTTTGCTGATCTTATGCAACTTTGGGGAAGTAGCGCGATCAGAACCCAACATAAGTTGCATGTTATTGTTGGACTCACTTCGGTCAGCTAACCCAAGGAGGTTTCAGCCTCTGATAAGAAACTAACGTTTTCAAACAATTTTCAAGATCCTGCGCCACATTTTGCACTTGTACTGGAGTTTGTGGCCAATAATGCGGCTAATTTTATTTCCACAACTTGTTCCAGGTTTGCCCTCGATATCACTGTTGCTGAAACAACGACGGAAAACATGACTGAGTGGTTGATATACCTCTCATGGTGCCTGACGTGTGTAGGGTTATACCCCACAGGGGGGGTCACATTTTGGATTTTTGTTGTCATTTGTGCGTATGCTCACTGACTTACTGAATGTTATGTATGTCCAGGTGCCCCAACAAAGGAACCAAACTGATTGCGGCTATTTTGTGCTTTATTATATATATAAGTTCCTCGAACGTGCACCAACGAAATTTTTCCTAACCGAAGGGTACCCGTACTTTGTAAGTGTTGCATTGTTCCATTGCCAGTCATAATTTTTTACATGATTTTCCATCAAGATACAACTGGTTATTTATTATGTCGTTGTGTAACTTGTGCCTCACCACAGATGAAAGGGGATTGGTTAGGGGAGGATGATGTCAAATCTTTTCATCACAAACTGTTGTTGGACGTCGCATAAAGTGAGGCAGTGGTAAACATTTGCTGTTGTAATTGCCGATTTAATATAATATGGACTATGTCACCATTGATCATGACCTACCATATCATGGTCATGAATTGTATTTCCATCACTAACAAGTATGATTTCTTGACTTGTACAAGACTGTGAAAACAACACAAAAGGTTAAAGCTACGAGTAACGTGCATTCGACTACATTGTTTTATTGTAAATTATGTGTTTCCATAACTGTTGTACAAAAAGTATTTCATGTGTTAAAAAATATAGTTTGAAAACAATCCAACATTGTGATAAAGGCAAAATTGAAAAATCAACGTTACAACTTTTCTATTGAAATATCTATTACATACAAATGTTTGTTTCAAACTGCTAAATTATAATAGTTTCATTAGATGTATGGATGGTGGGATGTGTTTCGGTATGGGCTGAAGGGGGTGTGGATCATGGATTTTGCTTCTATGTTTGGAGATTTTTGGTGGGACTGAGTGCATTTCAATGTCTGGTATGTTGTTGTGAGAGGAATGGGTCTGTTGTTTATGGGTTGTTGTTTTGTGTTCTCTTTGGTTGTAGTTTTTAGTTGTGCAGCAGGTTTTTTACTACAGGATATGGTTTGCATGTTTGATGCATTGGGTGATGGTGTTATGGAGGAATGGGACATGATCGTATGGCGACTAGGCAAGGGTCTTTAGAGCCTACACTACATGTTTGAGCTGTAAGTTGTGTATGTTGGTTTAGCAGTTGGTGGGTCTTGCTATTGGGCTTGAGGTGGATGTCTGTTTCGGTTTGTAATGGTGTGTTTAGGGTGACGAATGCCAGTATTGCAGTGTACATTGTTGCTGCTATGTTTGTTATGTGTATGTTTCAAATTTCTTCATGCGGCTTAGGAAAAAAGGCTCATTGTTCATTTCCCACAAGACGATATTACTTTGTAAAGAACTAATTAACCAGAATAAAAAATGAAAATTGTTTGCAATGGTTATATTTTGTTACATAATTTAGGCAAAAACTTAGAAAATATTCGCCCAACTCTTAAACTTTGAAGGGACAAGTATAGAAACTAATTGCAAATGGGCAAAATTATACCTCTTCAACCAAACAAAGCTATAATTGATTCCGTTACATTAGAACTAGTAAGGGTATTTTTTGTAAAATACCCTTATGTAATATTAAATTACTGTCAACCAAACACTATTATCAATTATAAATCCCCTGCAAACTAAACACAAAAATATTTTATACTTCATAATCTTCGAGGTAATTTACCTTTCCATTAATATAATATTCCCGAGTAATAAAATATTCTCTGAACCAAACACTACCTTAATGAAATCGAAGAATTTTAATGGGGTTCTAGTTGTGCTATCTTAATAAAAATTTGATGACCGAATGATTAGTTTCTAATTAAATATTTGATCTCCATTGACAGTGGGCAATGGATAGATGTTTTAGGTAAGCATTTAAAGATGTTATATGTTTATTTATATCATTTAAATATGTCTCTCTCATACTTGCATAAACTTTATCTTTTATCCAATGCACCATAATAATCAACCTCATTAATAGCGGCTTTATTTCCTTTATTCATATGACATTTTTTTCATGTTAAATAATCTAAATAAATGAAATAAACAATCTAATTAAATCCTTTTCGACGTAGATTTTTGAGGATATGTAAAGAAGAGTGAAGAAAGAAAGAAAGAAAGAAAGAGAAAATGAATTAAACGAGCTAGAAAAAGAAAACATGCTATAAGAACTAATTGCACTATATCCATCTATATATAATACATGAGCCTGAAGCCATTCTTATACTAAAATTTTATTTTGTTGTTTTTTCTTAAACAAAAATTCGTAATGTCTCGTCAAGTTTCAGCAGTTCCTACTCCAATCAAAGTTGCTAAGCAAGACACAAATCGTCGCTCAGCAAATTTTCATCCTAGCATTTGGGGGGATCATTTCCTCTCTTATGCTAGTAACTCTGTTGTAAAATACTGCTTATTAATTTCTTCTAATTTAATTTGAACTTGTTTGTGACAGTTTCTTTACAAAGTTTTTTGTATATGTTAAATACTAAGTTATACCAGGACCTACCATATATAGCCAATTCTCGTAAAACCCCTTTACAAATACGTACATGCCAATTACCATGCCATATATAATATTAAATTTTGTTTTTTAATTCATAGTAGTTTGTTTGTCCTATATGGTGTCTATAATGCCGTGGAAATTTTTGCTAATGACCTTTTCTTTCTCCTTGTGAATGTGTAGGAAAGTGATGATACGAAAAAGCTGCAAGAACTGACGGAAGAAATTAAAAAAAAGCTATTTGCTTAAGTGAATAGGCCGGCAGAGAAACTTGGGTTGATTGATGCAATCCAGAGGTTAGGTGTGTCCTACCATTTTGAGACCGAGATTGATGAACTGTTAGACCAAATCTATCAGCTTCACCAGGACAGTGATTCCAGAGATGACAAGGACGACTTATATTTCAACTCTCTTGAATTTCGATTACTTAGACAACGTGGTTATAGAATTTCCTGTGGTATATGTTCTTTCTTTCCCTGTTCCTTTCTTCTTTAATTAGATTTAATTACACCGTTTAGATGTGGTGTGAATAATGTGATGGGTTGTGAATCAATAAGCAGATGTATTCAGCAAGTTCAAGGACAGCAATGGGAACTTCAAGGCGTCTCTTGTGGGAAACATTCGACGAGTGTTAAGCTTATATGAAGCTACACATTTGAGGGTGCACGGAGAAACTATACTAGATGAAGCGCTTGTTTTCACTACCACTCACCTTGAGCCCATTGCAACCGAACTTAGCACTCCACTTGCAGCTCAAGTTAAGCATGCCTTAAATCAACCTCTTCGCAAGGGCTTACCAAGAGTAGAGGCTAGACATTACATGACTATCTATCAAGAAGAACCTTCGCACGATGAAGTTTTGTTAACCTTTGCCCAAGTTAGATTATAATATATTACAAAAGCTGCACCAGAAGGAACTGAGTGGAATTTTTAAGTAAGTTATATATAAAATCACGATTAATTTCTCGCTAAGCAGTGCATGCACTAATTTATCATCGAAATGAATTCTGTCATTTAGGTGGTGGAAGGATTTAGACTTTGCCAACAAGCTGCCATTTGCAAGAGACAGAGTGGTTGAGGGCTACTTTTGGATATTGGGAGTGTATTTCGAGCCTGAATACGAATTGGCTAGAAGGCTTTTAACCAAAGTGTTTGCCATCACTTCCATTATAGATGACACCTATGATGCATATGGTACAGTTGACGAACTTGAGCTTTTTACGTCAGCAATTGAGAGGTTTGATTTCTACACTTCAAATTCTCAACTTTAGCCATCTCAAATCCAAATTTATATAGTATTTTTATTTTGTTATAATAGCCTAGCACTTTCCCATCTTCAGGTGGGATATCAGTGCCATAGACCAACTGCCTGATTACATGCAAATAATTTATGCAACGCTTCTTGATGTTTACAATGAAATTGAAACAGAAATGACCTCTAAAGGACAATTATATCGCCTTCACTATGCAAAAGAAGTGGTGAGTTTTATTTCAGTCCATTAATTTGTGTAACCTAAAAGCAAGTGTAGAATGCATGTAGGATTAATTCTTGCTTGGTATTCATTCTTATGCTAATAATTTAGAATTGGTTTTTTGGTTTCTCAGATGAAGACTCTAGTAAGGAATTACTTTATTGAAGCCAAATGGTGTCATGAGAATTATGTACCCACCATGGATGAGTACATGAGTGTTGCATTGGTTACCAGTNTAATTTCATTTTATTGTATTTTTCAATTACTTGTTTATCCTTGTATTTGCCTACATAAGGGCAACTATTTCATTGTAACAATTAGCTTTTGAAATATATGAAATTGGTTTACCCATTTGAGAGATCTTTTGTGTTCTTGAGTGTGCATTCTTTATCCGAGTCTTGGCAAGGGAATTTGGTAGTGAATCAATTTAAGTTGGTGAAGTAATCCTTTAGGCTTGAAGTGTTTCTACTTGTCTTGGTCTAGATTTGCAAGTAAGTGTGATTTAGTTCATGTTTTTAATTTGGCTGAATTTCTACTTGATTTTTGGAGTATGTTGTGTTGTTGAAATTGGTTGGAAATGGATCACTAGCACTTTCCCCTTTTCAGGTGGGATATCAATGCCATAGACCAACTGCCTAATTACATGCAAATAATTTATGCAACGCTTCTTAATGTTTACAATGAAATTGAAACAGAAATGACCTCTAAAGGAAAATTATATCGCCTTCACTATGCGAAAGAAGTGGTTAGTTTTATTTCAGTCCGTTAATTGGTGTAACCAAAAAGCAAGTGTAGAATGCATTAGGATTACTTCTTGCTTGGTATTCATTCGTACTTATGCTAATAATTTAGAATTGGTTTTTTGCTTTCTCAGATGAAGACTCTAGTAAGGAATTACTTTATTGAAGCCAAATGGTGTCATGAGAATTATGTACCTACTATGGATGAGTACATGAGTGTTGCATTGGTTACTGGTGCCTATCAAATGTTAACCACAACATCTTCTGTGGGAATGGGAGATGTTGCAACCATTGAAGCCTTTGAATGGTTAGTCAGCAACCCTAAACTTTTAAGGGCTGCCTCAGTAATTTGCAGACTCATGGATGACATTGCCTCCCACAAGGTATTATTGCAATATAATTTAAAATGGTGCAAGCTTTTATTGATCACCTCTTTAGTAACCAATTGTGTTTTTATACATACAGTTTGAACAAAAGAGAGGCCATGTTGCCTCAGGCGTGGAGTGTTTCATGAAACAGTATGATGCAATCGAAGAAGAACCATACAATGAATTTTGAAAACAAATTACAGATGTCTGGAAGGATGTAAACGAAGAACTTCTCCGCCCAACAACCTTGCCAATGCGACTTCTTGTACGAATTCTTAATTTTACAAGAGTGATAGATGTTATATACAAGGACGGTGATGGCTACTCTGATGCTCAAGTTTATCTCAAGGGTTATATTACCTCTCTTTTTATCGATCCTGTGCTGATATAAGCATGCACATGAATAAATTACTTTTGTCTCGTTGGAAGTGTTGTGTACCAGACTATATTCTGGATCTCTCTGCGTGTAATTAAAAAGTATTATAAGAATTCCTAGCCTTCTTTTATAAAATCATATATCATTCTGCTTAAAACGTACAAAAGAAATACTAAAAGATTTTAAATTCTTATCTCTCATTCCTCTTGCAAAAGATATATAAAGAACAAATTATCAATTTGTTGCTTTATTAGTGTTTGTACATGCTAAAACAAGAGTTGTTACACATTTTCAAGAAGTTCAAGAACAACAATGGGAACTTTAAGGCATCTTTTGTAGAAGATGTTCGAGGAATGTTAAAGCTTTTTGAAGCTGCACATCTCAGGGTGCACGGAGAAAATATACTGGAAGAGACACTTGCTTTCACTAATGATACAACGAGTTAGCGAATAATATGTTTAGAAATGGTGGTGACGGCCAACCTTAACAAGACTCTCAATAAATAAGGAAATAAAATCTAAATTAATTAAAAATAGAAATCCTAAATAAAAAAGGAAAAAACAAACAGAAAACTTAAACAGCCTTGAAACACGTCGAAAAGTGGATTTTTGGCCCGAAAATTACCCTTAACCAAGGTTATTAAGTTATCACGTTGTATGGGCTCAAAACTGTGAACTTAACAAATTGAGAGAATTTGATTTGGGAATTTAAATATGAAAGGAAGATTCTCTATTGATAGAATTTGAATAGCGAAAATACAGAGAACTTTTTCTTTATATACAGTTTTCCTTTTGCTGCAATTTGGTAAAGTAAAACAATAGCTCTTGCTTCAAGTAGAATAAAGAAACTACTTGAGTCTTCAAAATGACATCACTTTGATCAAAATACAAGGAGCCCTTCATACTCTAATTTCTGACTCTTTGGCCCATATGTCCACTCAAAGTAAACTTTCCAGGGTTGATTCTAGTCTCTGATTCTTTGGTTCACACGCCCACTCAAACTAAACTGTCCAGAGTTGATTCTGGTCTCTGATTCTTTGGTTCACATGCCCACTCAAACTAAACTTTCCAGAGTTATTTCACGTTGCAGAGATCACACCCTTATTAGCTAACTTGTTATTCTTACAACAAATATCCCCAATAACAAAGTAGCGTCAACAAACCAGCAAACCATAACCAATGAGTTTAACCAAATGCAGAACTGAATGATTACAAAAAATGCAGCTTTGCACAACTGAATAATCATCTCAGCAGAAGTGTTCTCATAGCTAAACCATTTCAGAGAAAAATTAATGCAGGTTGTAGAAACTACAAATGCAATTCAATCAGCGGAAGTTTTCAGCCAACAGAAGTGTTCACATAGCTAGGCCATTTTAGAGAGAAATCAATGCATTTTAACCAATTCAATAGCAAAAATTTTCAGCCAGTAGAAGCAAAAATTTGCAGCCAGTAGAAGTGTTCTCATAGCTGGACCATTTCAGAGAAAAATTAATGCAGTTTTCAGCCAGCAAAAGTGTTCTCATAGCTGGACTATTTCAGAGAGGAATCAATGCAGTTTGAGATACTGCAGATGCAATTCAACAGCAGAAGTTTTCAGCCAGTAGAAGTGTTCACATAGCTAGGCCATTTCAGAGAGAAAACAATGCAGTTTAAGATACTGCAGTAACACAAACAAAAATCAATGCAATTTAAAGATACTGGAGTAGTACAAACACAAGCCAGGAAGCAACTAGTTGGGACAGAAGACAGGAATAACATTAAGTTTCTCCTTTAACTCTTGAGATTGAGCAGTTGAAAGTGCTTTGGTCAAGACATCTGCTATCTGCAGTTTTGTAGGTACATATTGAACCAAAAGTTGCTTAACCAAGACTTGATCTCTTATATAGTGAGCATCAATCTCAATGTGCTTGGTTCGAGCATGAAAAACAAGGTTGGCAGCCAAGGCTCCTGCACTAAGGTTATCACACCAAATGACAGGTGCTTAAGGGAAGTTAATACCCAATTCAAAGAAAATACTCTTTAACCAGGCTACTTCAGCTGTTGTATGAGCTAATGTTCTATATTCAGCCTCTGTAGAAGACAAAGCCACAACTTTTTGCTTCCGAGAACTCCACTAAATCAGATTGAGACCCAAGAATACACAAAAGCCACTAGTTGACCTCCTATCATCAAGATTACTGCCCCAATCTGCATCAGCATAGTATTCAAAACACATTGACACTGCTGGTCTAAACTGAAGTCCATGATCTTGAGTGCCATTAAGGTATTGAAGCACTCTCTTGCAAGCCTGCCATTGAATCTCAGTTGGAGTTTGCAAATACTGACTTAGCTTATTAACAATGAAGCTAATGTAAGACATGAAGGACCTAATCAAAGAGGCAAAGATGGTTATTAAAATCCCATCTTTCCAAATAATTGTGGCTCAAGGTATCTCTGGAACAATTCCAGGCTCAGCTTTATCATTTGCCGCTATGCGGTTAGAACTCATTGGTTTCTCCCACAAATTAATTGCATTCATTATGACCTTATTTGTAATTGGTTGTTCTCTTGGGGGTCTGTTTGGAGGAAAGATAGGGGATATTCTTGCGAAACGATTTCCTAATTCCGAGAGGATAGTTTTGTCGCAGATTAGTTCCGGCTCAGCCATTCCTATAGCAGCAATTTTGCTTTTGGCTTTGCCGGACGATCCATCCTCAGCATTCGTGCATGGTCTGGTTTTCTTCATCATGGGATTTTTCATATACTGGAATGGTCCTGCGACAAACATGTACGTATTCTTAATCCACTTTGTTGTTCCTAGTGTTCTAGGACTACGTTTTACAAATCTCTAACTGGAATTCAATAATATCCTAATGTTGCAAACAGTCCAATATTTGCAGAGATAGTTCCTGAGAGATACTATCAAATTTTGTTCCCTTCGTAGTTGGGATTTTGGCTCAGCATGTTTATGGTTATAAACCAATTCCCGAGGGAGCATCAGATTCAGTAGAGATTGAAACAGACAGGGAGAATGCTGCATCACTTGCCAAGGCACTCTACACAGCAGTTGGCATTCCAATGACAATTTGTTGCTTCATTTACTCCTTTCTTTATTGCGCATACCCTGGAGACCGTGAGCGCGCACAGACGGATGCCTTAATAGAATCAGAAATGCCACACTTGGAAGCAGATTATTCTCCATCAACTCAACTTCATGTTTCAGAACTGAAAATAATGAATAATAAGAAAGAAAGCAGAATCAACATCAAGCATGGAGGAGAGGAGAGCACTGATTTAGATGACAATGATGAGAATTCTCTTCTTTCCCATCAGCTATAACATTGTCATGAGATTTACAAAACTGATGAACATATCTAGAAAAGCTGGATTATCTGACTGAACCTATATAAACGATGGAAATACTTCGCAACACGATTTTGCTTAACTTCAGTTATGATTTAGTTCCACTCAAGCTGTATATATTTCCCAGGCATGAGGAGGTTGACTAGTTTGTTCTTGTATTGTTCATTTATTTACTTAATAGTTAATAATACAATTTGTACCCAAGTATCAGTTATGCAGATTTGTTTTCCAGATTTCGAGTAGATTCTACAGATAACTTATCATATAAACTTACGTATTTGGCTGAGAACAAGTACATTTCAAACATTTATATGATTTTGTTTCTGATTAACTTTGTTGTGGTATTTCATTTTGTCTGCAGGTTACTAATTTATGGCCATAGAGCCAATTTCAGAACAAACTATAAGCTGTGAAGGAAGATCCCTTTCCCAAAATATGATATAATCTTCATTTCTGGTAAGTCCATCATCTGACTTCAAAACAATCATATGCCACATATGTAGTTGAAAATTCGTTCTTCAAACTATGCTCTTTCTTTTTCTAAAAGATCCGCAATGATAAACTTAACTCACATGAAAATTTCCCGACTTATTGCAAAGATAATTTCAGGATATGACTTAGAATGTGCAGCATTAGTCAACAAGAATCTCTGAAATCAGATACAGATCCTTTTGAGCTTTACAATTTTTCTTGCTATTTTAACTCAATTCAAGAATTTTCGTGTTTATATAAACCGCATACTATTTGCTCAATTTGATCTTTGCAGGAGTTGATAAAATTAATGGAGCTTACAAACTGCAGAAGTTCTTCCTTGAAGCAGAAGCTCTACATTAACAAATTCCTGCTGATGTCTTCCACAACATCTTCCTATAAATGCCTGCAAAATTGCTTTTGCATCTCTATTGGAGTTGTTGACCACTTCAACAATAACGGTCTCACAGATTCATTCGGGGTCCTATTACATAGAAGCATTCAGGGGTCTAGTTGAAGGATTTCTCTAAGTCATAAACCCAATACATGAACTTATTTTTTTCTCTGTATAAATGTGATAGCAAATTATAGGGTAAACCACACTCATTGTAAAGAGAGAGATGAGATAGTATTTCAATAATATTGACTCTGTTGGATGTAGCCTATTAATTGAGTGAACTAGGGTAAATCATGTGTATTATTCTGTCTCTACTTGTTTGTGTTTACTGTTTTTGCTTTCGTATTACTCTAAATTGTTTCAATCTCCATTGCGTATGAAAGATGTATTGCGAAATTATTGATGGCGTTTCTTTAGCCAATATGAACATCTTAGCTTATACTGCTACTACTATTGTTATTTCTTAAGAATTAATCATTTTGTTTATACTGTAGTTTATTATGCATTAGAAACAAACAATATTATCCTTATGAATTAGTTTTTTTCTTTTTTCTTTTTTCTTATGTAATCCTCTCAAATAAGAAGTTTTGACCATTTATGTCTAATAATAGAAACTGGAAACTTATCCTGGTTATGGCTTCTTCATACTTTGTAAATAATAACTAGTTTGTGGAGTTCAATCTCCCATGTCTATGATTTTTCTTTTTTATTTGTTTCTAAAAGAAGGGATTCTTTTGGATATTTATATCCAAGTTGCATTTGTTTATAATACGATACGAAGATCCAAAACAAGATTATATTAATAT